ATTCACATAGGTGAGTCTATCAGGAGTACCCCCAAAGTAAAGTACTCCACCCCACATAGGGTATAGATCTCATTAAGAGTTATTAACTCAACCTCCATTGCTTTGGGATTCATGCTTCATTATGCATGAACTTTTCGCATACTACTCATGACTTGTTATTACCCATTGAACCCATTTCTTGGGATCTCCAGTCTATTGGGTCGGGTTACCATCACTTGTAGTCCGTGGTTCGGTAGGCATAAGTCCCATACCCTTGGCGGTATTCTGGACTTTCTCTCTAGGTAATCCTTTCGTCAAAGGATCAGCTAGATTCTGTTCGGATCTTATATGATCCACCCTCACTGCTCCTATCGTTAGGAGTTCTCTAACAGTACTGTGCTTACGACGAATCTGTCGTTTCTTTCCGTTATAGAACCGGTTCTCAACTTTAGCGATAGCTGCGGTACTATCACAATGTATCAATACCGGAGGGACCGGGCTTTCCCATAGGAGAATCTCTGACAACAATCCTCTCAACCAACTTGCTTCTTCACTAGCCGTTGCTAGTGCTATCATCTCTGATTCCATAGTTGATTGAGCTAGGATTGTTTGTTTCTTTGACTTCCAAGACACAGCTCCACCAGCGATGTTAAAAACATATCCGCTGGTTGCCTTGGAGTCATCTGATAGGGTATTCCAATCCGCATCACTATACCCTTCTAGTACAGCGGGAAACCTTTGATAGTGTATACCAAGGTTTGTTGTTCTCTTGAGGTATCTCATGACCCTCTCTATAGCATTCCAATGCTCTCTACTAGGACAGCTGTTAAACCTGCCAAGCAATCCCACGACATATGCAATGTCTGGTCGAGTGTAATCCGCAGCATAACGGAGACTGCCAATGATGCTAGCATATTCTGTTTGTCTTACACTGTCTCCAGTGTTCTTGAATAGCTTTACACTAGCATCATACGGAGTACACGCAGGTTTACAGTCGAAATAGTTATACTTCTTCAAGATCTTCTCTATGTAACTAGATTGATCTAGAGAATAACCATTTGCTGTTCTAGTTATCTGGATTCCAAGCATAAACTTTGCTTCTCCCAGATCTTTCACCTCAAAGCTCTCTTTTAACATGGCTTTCGCTTCATTGACCACGTGAATATTTGTACCAAATATCAACATGTCATCTACATACAAACATATGATAGTGCAAGTGCTATTCTCTGTCTTGCAGTAAATACACTTGTCACTTTCATTCACCTTAAAGCCATGTGAGAGAACGAGAGTGTCAAACTTCTCATGCCACTGTTTTGGAGCCTGTTTCAAACCATATAATGATTTGTCCAACTTACAGACTTTCGAGGCATGTTCAGGGATAACAAACCCTTCTGGTTGTTCCATATAGATTTCTTCATCTAGATCACCGTTCAAAAAAGCAGTCTTAACATCCATTTGGTGTACCACGAGATTGTTCAAGGCAGCAAGAGCAATCATGACACGAATGGATGTTATTCTAGATACTGGTGAATAGGTGTCGAAGAAATCTATATTCTCTCTCTGCCTGTAGCCCTTGACTACTAGGCGAGCTCGGAACCTTTCGATTGCACCATCAGGTTTCCGTTTCGTTTTTAGAACCCATTTGTTACCTAAGACTTTGCAGCCAGGAGGTAAGTCTGTTAGATGCCAAGTCTTATTAGCCTCTAACGATTCCATTTCATCTATAACGGCCTCATTCCAAAAGTCTGCATCTATGGAAGTTAGTGCTTCCTGCAAACTTTTTGGATCCTCTAGGGTGTATACTGTAGTAAAGTCATCACCAAAATCTTTAGAGATTCTAGCTCTTTTACTTCTTCTGAGTTCATCCTCAGATCCAACACCCCCACTTGTTCCGTTATCTCTAATAGCGGGTAGTACATTACCCCCACTATTTCTCGTTTTAAATGGAAATCGTGTCTCAAAGAAATCAGCATCAATGGATTCTATTACTGTACGAGCATTCAAATCATAGAATCTATATGCCTTACTATTGGCCGCATAGCCAACGAAGACACATTCATATGCTCGACTAGCCAACTTAACCCTCTTAGGATCAGGAATTCTTACGTAGGCCAAACAGCCCCACGTTCTTAAATAGGACAGATTAGGTGGCTTATTCTTCAAGATCTCATAGGGTGATTCTTTTCTATTTGTTTTTGGAAGACGATTTAGCACATAGCAAACCGTCAACAAAATATCACCCCACCAAGAAGAAGCAGCTCCAGAATTGAGCATAATAGCCACAACTAATTCTGTAAATGTCCTATTTTTCCGCTCAGCTTTACCATTCATCTCTGGTGAATATGGTGCCGTGGTTTCATGAATGATACCATGTGAGCTATAGAATTCCTTGAAGGGATTAGAGTATGACTCTAATCCTCTATCGCTCCTAAGTCTTTTTATCTTTCGATTGCACTGATTTTCGAATTCAACCACAAATACCTTGAACATGTCAAGGGCTTCACTTTTGTTTTTCATCAAATAAACAAAGCAATAATCAGAGCAATCATCTATGAAAGTGATAAAGTATCTCTTGCCAGACCTAGTTAACGTCCCATCTAGTTCACAAATATCAGAATGAATCAGATCTAAGGGTTCTGATTCTCTACTCACAGATTTATGGGGCGTTTTCGTTATTTTAGCTTGGCTACAGAAATCACATTTATCAAATTCATTCATTGAGAGTTTAGGGATATGTCCTAGCTTGCTTAAATTCTTCACAATTCGTGTGTTCACATGACAAAGACGAGCATGCCAAACATTCAAATCACACACCATGTAAACTGAAGAATTCATCTTATTAATTTCGACATTCAACTTGAACATCCCATTACATGCATATCCCTTTCCCACAAAACTCCCATTCTTAGTAAGGGTATACAAGTCTGCCCCAATAGATTGATTAAACCCAGCCTTATTAAGAAGATATCCCGACACAAGATTCTTCCTTATCTCTGGAGTGTGCAACACATCCTTGAGCACCATCTTCTTCCCAGAGGTGAAGTTCAGCTCCACTTCACCAGAACCAGCAACCATAGTGGTGTGAGTAGTCCCCAACAACACTTTCTTGTCAGCAGGTGCTTCTTCGTATGTTTTAAACATAGCACGATTGTTGCATACATGCTTCGATGCACCTGTATCCAGCCACCATCCTTCTGAGTCACCGGTGAGGTTAACTTCAGCGATCATATCTGTGATCATGGCTACCAAATCCTCTTCTGTCAAGTTAACCCTGGCCGCAGCGGCGGGGTTATGCTTGTTCCTGCACTTTTTTGCCATATGACCCGGTTTTCCGCAGTTAAAGCAGATAAACGGTGGGTCATTCTTAGAGGTTTGGGCCATGACCCTTTGGTTACCTCGAGAGGCACCATTCTGGTGGGGGCGGTCCTGCTGGTTCTTACCCTTAAACCCTTTCTGGTTAGGTTTAAGAGCTCTAGGGGTGGGTCGTTTAGCAGTGACGACCATCACCTCTTCTTTCATATCCTGCTTGCGGGACTCTTCCTCAATCCTTAGGCGAGTAATCAAACTTTCCAGTGAAAATTCTTTGGTTTTATGTCTAAGCATATTCTTAAAATCTTTCCACGAAGGGGGCAACTTATCAATAATGCAAGCAACTTGAAATTGATCGTCCAGAGGCATACCTTCAGAGACGATCTCGTGAGCTATTTTCTGAAGTTCGTGGGACTGAACTTCGACAGACTTGTCATCCACCATCTGATAGCGCAGGTAGCGGCTGACAGCATACTTCTTAGCTCCAGCCTCCTCCGTGTCGTACTTCTTTTGGAGCGCATCCCAGACCATCATTGCGGTGTTCTTGTTGTCCGCATAGTAGTCGTAGAGGTCGTCTGCCAGGCCGTTGAGGATGTAGCCCTTGCATAGGAAGTCATGCTCCCTTTCCTTAGCAGCAGCAGTCCTCTCCTCATCGGTCGCTTCTTCCGGCAGCTCGACGGGCATGCTAGTGAGGCAGTGTGCCAACTTCTTGGTCGTCAGGTAAAACTCCATCTTTTGTTTCCAGCGACGAAAGTTGACTCCAACGAAGCGAAACGGTCGATTGATATCGACAGCACCAGATCCGGCCATGTTGTTCTGTTCAGTCGACATAGCAGCAGCCGAACGTCTTAAAATTGTTAGAAACGGAACAACAACAAGATGAGGATACCGAATCTGGAGCTGAGTCGCGGACTAGGTCGCTTTCTTTAAGACGTTCGCGGCACTGCCCTCGATGCGCACGGCAGACTATCAACCGGTCGTCTCCAGGATAAAACAGCTCCTCTGTGTACTCGCGGTTTTGTGCGAAAACCGGAGCTCTCTGAACACTCTCTCTATTGTGTTTATGCTCGTTGTGGTGTGTTTAGAGGGGCTGGGGAGGCGGCTATTTATAGGAGCCGAACCCCTAGGAATATACCCTCTTGCTTGGGGAATAAGTCGGATTAATTAAGGAAGATAATTACTTCCTTAATTAAAACCGTCGGTTAGGATAAATCCGGCGGAGATTATCCTTCGAATATTCCTTTTCAATCGATTATCCCTTGGAATATTCCTCAGAGTAACCGATTAATAATTAATTATTAAATAATTAATTTCGTTCGGAATTTCTCCAAAAAATATGTATATAGTCTCAAGTGATCCATCCATCCGGTCGGTCGGACGGCGCGCGCGCGCGTGTGTGGTGGTCCGTTAGGTCCTCCCTCTCCCACAAAAGTGGGTCACCCCAAGGGGAATGCCCTTAGGAGAGAGGCTCCTATCTTTATACTCATTTCACCAAGTAAAACTACCAATGTGGTAGTTTTTCCACTTGAGACTCTATAGCTTTCAAAGCTATTCATACACATTTCCAACACAACCTCCTCGCCAAGGCACAGCCCGGCGTCTCCGTCCTCACCAAAATCGTCGACCACTTCCAAGGTAATGCTCCATTGATCATCATTAATTTGTGGACAAATGTTTGAGTTTGCATTCATATCGATTCTCATGTGCTAGGTATGAGGCTTGAGTGGACGCTGAACGAGAGGGAGAACAAAAACGTCTACTTCAGTTACAAAACGCAGTGTTACCAACTGAGATGCAAGAGGAGCGACAAACAGAGAGTCACGGAGAGCTACATCCCTCACATTTGCCAGACTGCGGAGAAGATCCTCAACCGCAGGGAGGTTCTCAACATCTACACCTACAACCGCCACGAGTGCTACTGGGAGTCCACCGTTTTCAAGCACTCCGCCACTTTCGACACTCTGGCCATGGAGCCAGAGCAGAAACAGGGGATTATTCGCGACCTGGATCTCTTCGTCCAGCGGAAGGACTACTTCCGAAGCGTGGGGAAAGCTTGGAAGAGAGGCTACCTTCTTTGGGGCCCACCTGGGACTGGTAAATCCACTCTGGTCGCCGCGATCGCCAACCACCTGAGGTTCCATATCTATGATCTTCAGCTTCAGGGGATTCGCAACGACTTCGAGCTTCGCAGGGTGCTCACCGCCACCACGAATCGATCCATTCTTCTGATTGAGGACGTGGATTGCAATTCCGAATCCACCAAACCTCGTTCTAAAGATGAAAAGGCGATTGATAAGAATCATCCGGACTATAAGAAGCGCAAAGCCAACGAAGGGGTAAAGCAAACGTCGAGCAACTCTGTTTCTTCATTACTACTCTGTTTTTGCTTTTCCCTATTTCAAATTGAATTTGATTTTTGGGTTTCCTTCGTTGCTCTGGGATAAAAAATTCAGGTGACGCTATCTGGGTTGTTGAATTTTATCGATGGGTTGTGGTCGAGCTGCGGAGATGAGAGGATTATCATCTTCACGACGAACCACAAGGAGAAGTTGGATCCGGCGTTGCTCCGGCCAGGAAGAATGGATGTGCATATCTATATGGGTCATTGCACGGTTGCAGGGTTCAAATTTCTGGCTGAAAAGTATCTGGGTATTCAGGATCACGCGCTTTTCCAGAAAATCGAGTATCTGATTCAGAGGATTCCGGCTACTCCGGCGGAAGTTGCACAGCAGCTCATGAAAGCCGACGATCCTGAAGTTGCTCTTGATGAGCTGGCCGAGTTCATGATAGCAAAAGCGATAGAGATCAAGAAGGGTGAGGGAGATGGCTCAAAGAGCAAGAGCTTCTGGAGCCTGCTAAAGAATTTTAAGAACAAGAATAAGACGAACTGATTATAAGTAACAAACAAATAATGGTTGTTTGGTTTATCCTTGATTCCTTGTGCATTGCTAAATGCATGTATAATATACATGTATTATTAAAATTTGGTTTATTTAGATTACAGGCATTTGGTATTTGTGGTGATTATGTTTTTAATAAGTAAAAGACAAAGTCATATTTTATTCAAAATGTCAATTGTACTGTTGTTAGATGCAAACTAGATAAGCCTGCCTTTGTTTCAAGTGAGTAATATGAAAAGTTACATGTGTCTATAAGAGGAAATAATCTAATTTGCAAGAAGACACAAACTCAAAAGACTGCAGATGATCTGTTGTAGAGCATAGTCAAATTTATCTGATCCTAAGGCCATGATCATATTTCCCTAGGGTCTCTCGCAGAACCCTTACTTCGGATGTAAGGTATGGTTCAATTAAAAAGAGATCGATTTAGGAGGTTAAGATGCCTCCCAGAGCATGAGATTTAAAGAGTAACACGGTGCAGAAAAGTAAACCTAAGCTACTGGACGAGTGAGAAATCAGAGAAAGAAGACGTTGCATAGGGAAGCTCTCCCTAGGTCTCCTAACCGTGCGTCCCTCGTTGGTTGGTGGCATACAAGCTGTCGATTTCTTATTTCGTTAGATCCGTCGAGACATTTACCGAACTAATGAGCGATAAGTACCCTTATGATTTTCCCCTTGAGGTATGAAGGATGTTATCATAAAATTTTCAAATTTTTTTTTTGAAATAATGTCATACTCTCCAAAGCAATTCGAAAGCTCATCTTATTTTATAGGGTTAATAGCATTTTGTGCCCCTCTACTATTGCAAGTTAACAAACGTGCCCCTATACTATATTTTTGCACAAATATACCCTTTTAATATCACAACGTAACAAAAATACCCTTCCGTTAAAAATTCTGTGAAGTGGTCATTAAGTGGGATGGGAAATGACCCAATTACCCTTTACTAAAACTAAAATTTTAATTTAATTTAATTTAGTGAAAGTGGATTAAAAATCCCTAATCCCCTTCCCTTGTCGACAAACACCTCACCCCTTCTCCTCGTCCGGCGATGTTGCAGTCGGGACACCGGGGAGTTGCTCCTTTGTAGAAGGGCTCGTCGACGGGACAGAAAGCGGGGGAGGATTTTCAAGGGGAGAGGGAGATTTTGAACTCAAAATCGGAGGAGGAGAAGGAGTGGGACGGCGATGACTGCGGATTTGGGAGGATCTGGAATCGAGCTTCTCTCTTCTCTTCCCCATGGCTACTGTTTGGTTGGGGAGATAATCGGATGAGGATGGTTCATATATGCATAATAAATGTGTGTTGTGGGGAGATCTCATTTTTTAAAAAGGAAAGTCAGTTGACCTTCTCATGCGCTGAATTGGGGGAGAGTGGGGAGCAAGCACCGTCGTTGATGGAAGAAGGTTTTCGGGAGAGTTGCCGGAGAGAAGCTCTCGCTTTGCCGGAAAAGGTGTTGAAATGGGTTTTCTCCTTTGGGAAATTATCTCAGAGGAAAAAGTTTTTCCCAGAATTCCAATGGTCTCTGGATTAAAAGGGTGCTTAGCTGCATACTAATGGGGGATTAAGGGTGCTTGGCTGCTCTGGATTTTAAGGACTCAAGGGTGCTCTCTAACGTCCCGACTGCAGCATCACCGGACGAGAAGAAGGGGTGAGGTGTTTCTCGATATGGGAAGAGGGAATTAGGGATTTTTAATCCACTTTCACTATATTAAATCATAACTTTAGTTTGAGTAAAGGGTATTTGAGTCATTTTCCATCCCACTTAACGACCACTTCACAGAATTTTTAACGAAAGGGTATTATTGTTATGTTGTGATATTAAAAGGGTATGTTTGTGCAAAAAATGTAGTGTAGGGGTCGTTTGTTAACTTGCAATAGTAGAGGGGCACAAAATATATTAACCCTATTTTATATTGCTAGTCTATGCACTGATATGTGATATAGGGAGGCTAGTGTAGTGGGTATGAAGGATGTTATCATCATGTGATGAAAGACCATGCGAAATATTTGGATACAATGCTTATCACTATCCTTTGTGAGTCGTTATACTCATCCAAACGAGTCTTCTGCTCTTACACAGATGGAGGGAAATGATTTAAATAAAGCCATTACGCGAGTGCTAAGGTGTAAAATTGCTCTTGATTGATCATGGTTATGTATAAGTGCACTTGCGCTACAAAAAGTCCAAAATCGGCATGCTACGTATAAAAGAGAGAACATCAAGAACTATCGATTGTCGAAAAGGTATAGATGTTGTTAAATGTCTAAATAAAGCTACAAAGAGCTTTGCCCCAATTATTCATGAGACTCTCGAGTTGAGATAAGAGTTTATGATAGATAGAGATAAGCTATATTTTCCTTACGAGATATGCACCTCATTCATGTGGTCTAGTTCTCTAAGTGCGGGGATTGAACATATAAGTTGTTTATGATCCACTACCTATGATCAAAAGTCATTTGTCATGTAGAGGTCTAATAGTACTCTTTTAAATCCTCATATTATGACCAGGACTTCATAGTTTTCATATATTTAGCATCATAATATCTTGAATTTGCTTCATGATTACTCAATATGTGTTTTAGTAGCTCTAGACTTGCTCTGATAATTTTGACGCAATTTTGGTAGTGATTCATGTGTTTTCAAGGCATAACATCCAGAACCAAAACCCCTCATATCCAGATCCACCGCCTCCCCCAAATTCCGCCATTGACGACAAGAACAAGAACCCAATCGACAAGAAGCAAGAAGAGAGAAGAGGAAAAAAGATGAAGATACAATCGACAAGAACCCAATCGTCGACGCCCTCATCCTCGTCGTCATCATCATCTCCGTCGTCGGAGTCGTCGCCGTCATCGTCATCCTCCTTCTCGTCATCGTCGACGTCTTCCTCATCTTCCGGCTCCTCGACCTCCGCCCCTTCCTCTGTGTCGCTGTCGTCCTCGTCGTCGTCGGTTGAAATGGCAATCACCTCCTCCTTCAAATCCTTCCCTTCCAGCTCCGTGATTTTCATGCTGCTTCTCCGCCCCAGCGAACAGATCGGGAAAATCTAACGGAAGTCAATGAAATTTTCAAATCTCTTTTCCAGGAAAATAATTATTATTGAAAGCAGAAATTTTTTTGGGGAGCTCAGCGAAGAGGATGGGGGGAGGGAGGAGGAACAGAGACAAGCTGCTTCGTGTGTTGAACCAGTAGCTCTGCAGCTCCGATCTAGGTCGTCGAAACCCGGGGTGACGCGGATCGATGAGCTGGAATGAAATCGAGGAGGGACGGTGGCGATGGATCTGGATCGAGAGAAAGAAAGCAACGGCGGGCGGGAACGTGGTAGGGAAGACGATCTACAGCAGTCGGAGCCGGATCTACAGTAGGGGCAATCGACTTGTTAATTTCTGGGTTAAATTTATTGAGGTCAAATACGAGCAGGGAATCAGCTTGGAGAATTTTTAGGGAAATGGCGGCCTCCCAGAGCGAAGTCAGACCCGGCTGACTTAGACGATAGCCAGGTAACCGTCGCCGCCGTCGGATTTCACGGCCATGGCTGCTGGGATTTTTTTTAATTTTTTTTTTGTTTTAGATTATTTATTTATATAAAAAATAATTATAAATTGATATTATAAATTCCACGTCAGATGCCACATCAGCGCTGACTAAAGTTTTTGTTAAAAATTAACGGTCAACGCTAGTCAACTATAACGGAAAAATGGTTTGGGACACAAATGTCGTATCGAATACTTTAAAACACAAATAACACAAAGTTAATAGTTCGGGTTTCCTAGTGATATTTAGGGCTGTCAATTTGGTTTGGTTTGGTTAACCAAACCATTAAGTATGAAAAACCAAAAACCAAAAACCAAATCCCAAAAACCAAAGCCAAAACCATTAAGGCCCTTATTGGTTTTTTGGTTGCCAAAAACCAATAAGGGCCTTAATGGTTTTGGTTTTGGTTTGGATAACCAAAAAACCAACATGTACTCATACGCTCATATTTATTCCTATTTTCATCCTTTTTATTGAATAAACGTCATAATAATGGTAAATGGCCATAACAAATTATTGGTTGGCATGCGTGTCAAAAGAAACAAAAAAAAATATATTTGTTGATAGATAATTTTATTCTTATTGGTTTCTTAATGGTTTCTATTGGTTTTTCGGTTTTAACCAAACCAGAACCATTAAGTTGCTTATTGGTTTAAAACCAAAAAACTGAAACCATTAGCTTTCCAATTGGTTTGGTTTCGGTTAAAACCAAAAAACCAAAACCAAATGGACAGCCCTAGTGATATTAGCCTAATTTTTTTATAATAACAAACATGCCTCTTTCTTTCTCTTTCGAAATTGTGGTCAACCTCTTACAATATAAAATTTATCAAAATAAAATATCTTTTATTGATTGAAATTAATATTAACATGTAACCAAAAAAGTGCTAGCCCTTAACTTCACCATAACTCTCTGCTTAAAACACTTAACTTCACCATAACTCTCTGCTTAAAACACTTTCACACAATTGGAGGGAAAAGTAGAGTGGAAGTGAATGAGAGCGAGTGCGTATGGGAAGAAGCGAAAAAAGCAAAGGAAGTAGGAAAATTCCATTCTGTTCCCCACTTCAAGAGCATTAATCCTGAAGAGACTCGGGTTCAAATCCTGATGTTGGTATTAGAATTTTAGGATGATGAGAGTCGCTCTGTCCTCTCTCCTCGAGTTCTGCTGTGTGGCCGGCCGCTTCATCCTCCTCGCTCTTGTGGAGGTCTTCAAGGCCAGCGCAAAGAATCAGCACCAAAGTTGGAGAAGAAGGAAATGCCCTGGCGGCTTGCAGGCGGCGGTGATGGAGGCCATTAGCTTGCGATCATCGTCTGCTCCTAGGCTTGCTTCCTCGAGGCAGGTTGGTAGTGATGATTGCCAGAAGAACTGTGAACCGGTTCTACGGGGCCGTTACAGCAACAGGAAACGCCGGGCCGATGCCCTAACTCAGATGGATGGGTACAAACGCCG